AATTCTTTTTTCTTTGCGAAACGAACGTTTTCTCCACAAAACTCAGATCGCGCGCGTGCAAAAGGCACTTTTGTGCGCTCAAAATATGATCTTTCGCGCGCAGAAATGTGGCAGAAATGTAATCCCATAATAAACCTGCTCGGGAGCAGGGTTTCATACGGGTAAAAGAGGTGCTGACACTGCTTCTAAATTTCAAGTGTGAAACGTTAAATGCGGGTTTAGAATGACAATATGCGGGGATTAAAGGGTTAATTCACCCAAAAATGAAAATTCTGTCATTAATTACTCACCCTCATGTTGTTCCAAACCCGTAAGACCTTCGTTCATCTTCACAACACAAATTAAGATATTTTTGATGAAATCCGAGAGCTTTCTGACACTGCAGCAGCACAACTGACACGTTCAAGGCCCAGAAAGGTAGTATAAGGACATCGTTAAAATAGTCCATGTGACATCAGTGGTTCAACCGTAATTTTATGAAGTTATGAGAATACTTTTTGTGCACAAAGAAAACAAAAATAATGACTTTATTCAGTCTTCTGAATATTTATTCTCTTTTTTATTTATTCTCTTCCGTGTCAGTCTTTGACGCAGGTTCACGAGAGTACTATGATGCATGCGTGTGATGCTGCTGATGCAGGAGCCGGTGCTCCTGTGTCAGCTGCACCACCCGCATGTGTCGTGGTACTCATGTAAATGCACATCACATGGGCTATTTTAACGATGTCCTTACTATTTTTCTGGGCCTTGAACGTGTCAGTTGCGTTGATGTCTATGCAGTGTCAGAAAGCTCTCGGATTTCATCAAAAATATCTTAATTTGTGTTCCGAAGATGAACGATGGTCTTGCAGTTATTTGGAACAACATGAGGGTGAGTAATTAATGACAGAATTTTCATTTTCATTTTTTGGTGAACTTTAAGCGCCGTTTGAAAAGCTCAAATGATGACTAGAACTGTAGAAACTTTTACTTTTTAGCATGTTTTCATCAATTATTTGAATTTTTTTGAATGTCATTATTTTTAATAAAGTTACAGGTTTAGCTTGATTAAACAAAATGTTTCAGCTAGAAATACCTACGTCAGCATGCTTGTGCTTGGTTCCATGGATTCAAAGAGTGCTCTTGCATTTCTACTGTTGCTCCTTTTGATGGCATGCTACAGGTTAATACACCATCACCCCTCATTGAGCTCAAGACATTTAGCTCAATATCTGCTATGCTTTCATAACTATTTAAATAATAATACATATGACTCTATGTACAGTAAAAACATTTTCATGCGTTCTAAATGTTTGTTCAGTGGAGGATGTAACAAGCTAGTGTGATACTACAGTAGATCCTTTTATTGAAAGTGATGCACTGCAAAAATCATTAATTTTGTCTTGAAAAGATGTTTAAAAAAAGATGTTACGGTATCTTTTGACTTTGGTTGAGCAAAGCCAAGTTATGATTGGAGATTTAATACTTACCCCCTTTCAGATGTGAAATTTTGCCAGCATATTTCAGATTCTTTGACAGAGTTTATTGAGATCAATGATAAAGGTGATGTTTCTGACTCTGTGTTATGGGAAACTTTTAAAGTAGTAATGAGGGGACATATCATTTCCTATGAGTCAGCAGCAAAGAAACTTAGACAAAAACGCTTAGTGGAGATAGATGCCCGTCTTACCCAACTGGGAAAATTATATAGGGATACCGCAGACTTGTGT